CGAAACTATTGAAGATGCAGTTCGAAACGAAATTCACACAATTTCTATTTATCCTGCTCTTGAGGGTTTAGGTTTTAGGGTTTAGGGCTTAGGGTTTAGGATTATTTAGGGTTTAAGGTTTAGGGTTTAGGGTTTCTTAAAGGAGCCCTTAAAGGAACCTGTAAAGGAAGCCGTAGAGGAACCCGTAAACGAAGCCTTAAAGGAACAGGAAGGCGTTTGTTTGGGTCTACACGATGCATCTTTTAACATCGTTCTGGTACACGTTTAGGGTTTTATTTTGTGTGCAGGGTGTTTTGACATCTACATGAATCCTCAACTGTTCACCAACTCACCATTCACCAATACTTCCCGCCAGGGGGAGGAGGATTGGTGAATTGGTGAAGTCGTGATTTGGAGACTCGTCTCCTACGTCGACTTCGCGGCTTAACTCATATTTCGCCTGCAGCGAGCCCTTCATGTCAGAAGAAGCTCGAGAGTCTTCAAGAGACGAGTTCATCCACATATGTCTCGAAACTGTGGATGCTTTCATCAGTCGAGAGGGCAAGAAGATCATGGCCCTCATGAAGGACGGACGTAAGACTCCACCTTCCCAGAGAGCCCAATACCCCTTAATTATGGAATATACCTTAAATAATAAGGGGATTCACATTACGATTTAAGCTATATTCCTTAATTAAGGAGTATTGGGCTCTCTGGGTTCGGATTGGATCGCCAAGTGCCAATGGAGTCACGACATCCACAGCGCTCAGCGAACATCGCAGGAAGCCTCCTCGTACAACAGTCAGACGGGAAAAATCTCCCTTCGCAGACGAAACCACTCGTCGCGAGACAAAGCTCTCCCTCGCTTTCTCGGGTCGCATATGCGCAGATTCCTCGGTGAACCACATGCAGAGGAATCGCTGGGCACTGGCGAATACAAATCTATTCGTCGTAAACCCTCAACGCGAAGCCCTAAAACCCCACTTGAACCCCTAAACCCTACGCCGTAAACCCCAAAGCCTATTTCCGAAGCCGTAAACCCCAAACCCTATTCCTTAAGCCGTAAATCCCAAAACCCCGAAATCTAGCCCCCAAAGCCCTAAACCCTATACCCCAAAACCCTGAACCCTAAATCCCTAAACCCTGAAACCCCAAAATCCTGAAGCCAAAACCCAAAGACTCCTATACCCCTTAATTGGGGAATATTCCATAAATCATTTTAGGGATCCTACTATAATTTAAGGTATATTCTTTAATTAAGGGATATTTGAGTCTCTGGGAGCCCCCAAGCGAAAGCTTCCCTCAAAGGGGAAAAGGAGGGACCCTTAATGGGGACCCCTACCTTATAATGGGCTATATCATGGGTATATAATAGCTAAATAATATTTAAGGGTAAATACCTAGGGGTCCTTATTAAGGGTCCCTCCTTTTACCCTTGGACTTACTAATCTGGGAGTTTCCGAATATAGGGGAACCTTTTATTTTGTACCCTAAGTAGTTCTAAGGGTCCCTCCTTTTCATATCATGGGTATATAATGGCTATATTAAGGGTATATACCTAGGGGTCCTTTTTAAGGGTCCCTCCTCTCACCCTTGGATTCCCTGCAGGGGCCAACGCTTTCGGGGGATCGAGAGCTGATCCTTGCCGATCCCCAGGCGATGCGCTTCGAATCGGGGGTTCTCCTTTGAAACCGCTTGATTACGAGGGTGCCTATAGGGAGTTATAGGGATTCTGGGGTCTTCTACAACAGGGTTTATAGGGCCTTAGGGTTTAGGGCTCTATCAAGGCTACTGTAAGGGTTCTGTAGCGACGTGTTTTCGTTGCACGGCTCTAGGCCTTCCGATTGAGGCTTTTATCTTCGGGTTCCGGGCTCTACTTATCCCTAAGCCCTTAATTGGTCCCATTAAAGGGATCTAGAAGGGTTCCCTTCAAGGGCTCCAAAAAAGGGATCCATGGGGTTTTCGGGTTTAGGGTTAAGGGCTGTGCGGTTTTGGGTACTCCCCTACCGAGGCAACAAAACTGTGAACTTGTCGGGTTCCTACGTTTTGCATACCATGGTTCGGGTTCGGTGATGTCTGGCTTTGCTGGGAATTTACGGGGGTTTATCGACTGCGCAATGTCCTGATTCAGCAGTTCCTTTTCCAGCATCTGCAGGACACTTAAGAAACTGTTTCTGCATTGCCGGAAGCTGGACTCAGTATTGTGGTGACCTTATTGTAGTAGCCTTTTGTAGTAACCTCCTTATAGCTGTCGGCAAATTGAAGTGTCTCAGAATGTTCCTGCAACTCGCAGCCCTGGGATGGGGCGACTTCGTAGGTAGGTTGCAAGCAGAGTTACAAGCACATTAGGGCTGTCCCACACCTGTCGCTACTTTGAGCAGAGAGAATTTAGATCCTATGAACCTGAGCCCTAAACTCTGAACCCTAAGCCCCCTAAACCCGAAACCCTAAGCCCTAAACCCTAAACTCTAAACCGTGGAGGTGGCAGCTAGTCGGGCTGGGTCCAGTGTGCAGTGGTTGGCTGTCTCGCAACGTCGGGCGGCCCGTTTGGCGGAGATGGCTGGGAGAGAGCCTTACGGCTTTAGGTGTGTTTTTCTGGCGAGTTGGGGGTTTTGGGAGATTAGGCGTTTTGAAGCGGTTCAGGCTTTTGACTTTACTCACGTGTGCTGCAGTTTAGGGACTAGCGGTTCGCGAAAACGCATGACTTCCTGTCCTACATTACTTGATCCTCCTTCTTGCTAAAACGACCTAGGCTATGCATCTATCTCCATCTGTATCTGGATCTCGATCCCTGTCTCTACCTCTATCTGTATCTGTGTCTATGTCTAGTTCCATATCTACTTATATTCTATTACAGTTTTTACCAAGCTCCTGCCTTGCGAATTCTAATTACTGCGGCACTCATCTCAAAGCCGCCTTCCGTCCTACATAGCCCCGGACAAGAGCGCGGCGGTTTGTGAGAGGCCCGCAGTGTTCGGTTCCATGTCGGTTTCCAGGAGATTGGCTCTCCCTCTCTCTCTCTCTCTCTGTGTCTCTCTCTCTCTCTCTCTCTCTCTGTGTCTCGCTTTCTCCCTCGACCTTTCCGTGGTTCGGGTTTGCAGTCTTTTTATAGTCCTAAAGCACGTGCCGATGGTCAAGAACAGAGGCTCAGCGTTTAAGGCTTAAACTGATGGTTTATGCATCAGCAAGAACTTCCTAGATCTCCGCGCCAGAAGCACAACAAGATTCGTTGAATTCTGAACCCGTCCGCCCCATGTAGGAGCTAACCGTCGCCACGCCGTAGCCCCGCCAGTCGCCAGTCGCATCTCTGCACCTCGCCGATCTGTTCGCGAAGCTCCATGTTGTGCTGTCACCTACGCACCGTAACCTCATGCTCCGATTTTCAGGCAGCATGGATATTCAACTAGCCAGATCCAGAAAGCTCTACTTCGCCGATCCCAAGCGACGTACGCCACTGCTTCTTCAATGCTCGCTGGCATCTGCCACCTTACCCGATCCCAGAACTATCCCTGAAGCAGCAATGGAATCCCCACCAAGGGAGCTTGCCCGGAGGGCAGCTGCGCGTGGACGCGGTGTTGCCATCAGGCGCCACATGATTACTATAGGGGCCGAAATAGATACCTATACTATTTTGGAGGTTCCTTATTATAGGCATAGTATATAATGATTATTAAGGTGCCGGAATGAGGGGTTGCCGGGGTTGAGGTTGAAAAGTTTAAGATTCGGGATTCGAGGTTCTGGATGGAGACTGTTAGCCTGATGACGGGCTGCGTTCGGTTTTGTGCGGTCGGGAGAAGCAGCCAGCAGATTTGATTCACCATGAAGCGGGCAACATGTTCCATGGAGTTGTGGGATTGGGGCTTCAGATGCTTGCAGGAATTTGGGCTTATCTTAGGTACTGCCCCCATACAGCAAGAGTCTATAGTAGGGCTACTACTAAGGTCTTAAATGACTATATTATGAATATTATTCAACCATTACTGAGTGGGCCGTTCCCAAGGCTTATCCTTCGGTTTGGGTTCAGAGGAGTATCGGGCTTGGGGTTGCGGGGTGTAGCATTCCATGCGGGGCTCGTGGTACTTTTGCAGCTGCTGCACTTCTCCGTGAGGTTGCGGTGCCGCTTGAGCGCGCTCGTTCGGCGGAGCCTGCGTTTCAGGAAAGGAACTGGTAGCTAAGGGGCCTCAAATAGAATGAGAATAGGGTCTTGGGGCCATTAGACTATAAACCTATATAATAAGGAGCCTCTAAAATAGTATAGGTATAACAGTTGCTAAGCTTCAGCTCAAAGGGTGAAGGCCCCCGAAACCCTGAAAACTTTAAGACCTCAAAGCTCCGGAGCCCCGAGAGCCAAATCACACCAAAGCCTCATGCGCCCAGTTCTCCAAAGTAGGGTTTTTGTTAGGGTGCTTTTTATAAGGGTGCCGTGCTACGGTTGATGATCTAAATCCTGCATTACCCATAGTAAGGAATATACCAGAATTCCCATAGTTTAGGGTCCTTAAGGTAATGCAGGATTTATATCATCAACCGTATTTTGGGGACCTGGAGGCCTGCAGAGTTCCCAAGCAAAGAGGCACCGACCTGGCAGCCGCTTCAAGCAGCGGCGCGAAGGCCTTTGCGTGGTTTAGGGTTATTTAGGGTTTAGGGTTTAGGGTTTTAGGGTTTAGGGTTTAGGGTTTTACAAATGAGGTTCGCCCTAGCTTCAGCTTGGGACCAGCTCAAACGCTATCCATCAAGGCACAGCAAAGGGGACCTCACTGTTTTTCCGCTCGCAACACAACGTTGTGAATGACTGCTGACTGTGAATGTACATGTTTGTCAGCTTTTTCCATTCTGGATTATCGCTTTACAGCAAACTCTGAAAGATGTGGTATGCTCCAAAAGCACTGCATAGCCCAAGGGGTTGATACGTAGCCTTCCCTGAGCCGTCATTATGCGGAGCACTCACACAAGTTGCGCACTGAATCGGAGGTCTTCTGCACTCCTCCTCTGTCTCGCCGACAGGTAGAGACCGATCCATCTTAGGTCCGGTTCCATTGCGCAATGAGAGCTGAGATCCTTTCTCTATTGTTGATCTCAAAGTACCTAAGTACATGCCGTCCACTCATGTCCTTGTGTCGCCATAGCCACAACACGTAGCGTAGCTGTCTGATAGTCGGACTCGAAGAGTTGTCCGCCAGCTCCATCATGCGATGACCCAGCCTTCTTGCTTGATCATCTTTCAAGCCCGACACTGCTAGTCCCTCAGTACGCAAGGCCTCCTTCAGACTTTCGCAGGTCATCAGTCTGCAAACATCCTCGCATACCCTCTGAAACTCTGGCATCGGAACGCCTGTATTGGAGCCTGGGGACCATGTTGCCGTGGTAACCCTACCCCTTGACGCTTCATGCAGTGATTGTCCTGCAACTCTAGCCAGCGACGGAGTTCTTGGTCGGGGCGGTGTCGGTGTCCTCAGCCTAGCCGTGCTCATTCTTGCTGGTGTTGTTGTCCTTGGAGTAATCGGCGGTGATGGGGTTCTCTGTCTCATTGGCTCCTGTCTTCGCGACCTGGTAGTAGACGATGCCGATGATGGCTGCTCCCGTCTGGACTGTCCATGCTCCTGGTGCTCTTCTTGTAGACGGTCTAACTCCCTTTCAATTGCCCGGGTCGTAGCTTCACGTAATTTCTTCAGCTTCTTGAGTTTTCGAGCTGAAGCACCCGGCGTGTACTCGTTGTAGACTTCTTGACATAGCCATTTTAGTCCTTCCCAAAGCAGCAACGCACCCAGCACCATCAGTCCAACCATAAAGGAACCCACAAGATCCCGATCAACTTGAAGCCCGGAACCTCGTACTGGGGTCTGTCCATCATCCGTCGCCTGCACGGATACAATAAGCAAGCAACACACCAAAGCCACAGTCACCCTTGAAGAGCTTTGCAACCTTGCCATAGTAGATGCCATCTTCAACACCTGCTCGCCAATGCTCCATAGTGACAGTAGCGATGTCATTCTTGCATAACTCAAGGCCTTGGTCAGCAGGTCAGCTGGCTGATGTTCTCCTGGACAATGCCGGGCTTTCAGCACCCCATAGCTTAGTTTTTCCTGCAACCAGTTTGCCTTGATTCTCAAATGCCTTGTTCTCCAAGAACTGGATCCCGAGGATATACTCAAGGCCGCCATGCTATCCGATGCGATCTCCCTCTCGTAGACAACCTCGCCAATGTCCACAAGCAATGACTCCAGACCAAGCATTGCCACTGCACCATCTATCATCGACAGTAACTCTGCCTCTGCAGTGGATAATGTGACCATTTGCTGCCGCCCACTGCGCCAGACTATCGGTACTCCACCGTAGGTTACCACCCATCCTCCATGCGATCGATCTCCTTGTGGAGCATACGCAGCGTCACAGAACATCACAAGGCCTTTGCTTCCCCATTGAACTCTCAGCCCATAGTTCATGGTACGCTGGAGGTAGCCCAAAACCTTGTTGCCGATCATCACCACCTGCGACGGGCTTCTAGTGCACAAACTTGCCATCATCGAAGTAGTATACGAAAGGTCTGGGCGTGTTCTCTGTGCCACCCACAAAGCTTCTCCCGTCATTTGCTGAGCCTTCCTTACATCCTCCTCAGAAGCTTGCTCCGGCTTTTCGGGGATATAGGAGAGCTCCTTGGTGATCGGTACCCTGTCTAACTGCGATGGTTTAACTTCATGAAGACGTAGTAGCTCTTGCACATACCCCTTCTGGAACACTGTGATCACCTCACTGTCCTCAGTCTCCCGATGAAGTTCCATTCCCAAGAAGCGCACTGAACTGCCGGGTCCCAGGAACGTCAACTCTGAGGTGTCCCACATCTCCTGAATAATACTGGAAACCTCACAAATCACTTCGCGGGGTCCACACAGCATATAATCGTCCACGTACACAACGATCAGGCCATTGATCTTTCCCTCCTTGTCTCTAAGTGTCCACCATGAGGTAATTGCCTTGCCCTGATACCATGACAGGCCCACAGGAGCACGGAGGGTCTGCATCGTCGCGTCCCTATAGTTGGTCCACAGCATTGGTGCTTCACGTAGACCGTACAAAGCCCTTATAAGGCCCCACAGCTCCATAGGCTCTATAAGTCCAAGCGCCTCCAGCAATCGCAGTGGTTGGGCCACTACTACTGGGTCTGTTTCCACACGACCTAAGGGAGTCTTGAGAAAGGCTGCAACTATGTCCAAGATTGCAATAAGCCACCTGTTCTTCGAAGCCATCGTCAAAGCCATTCGTACCGCTTCTGCTGGAGCAGTTTCTGCATACAACGAGGCTTCCTCAAAACGGGCCATGTTTCCGCAGATGACAAGCCGTGCCTTTCTTTTGAACCACGTTTCGGGCTGGTCGGGTTTGGCACCGTCGTTCGGCTTTATAGTGAACACAAACTTCATGGGCAGGCGCTGAACCCTTGGTAAATTCAGCCACTTCTTTCTGGAAGGCGAACCAGGGACCAATCTCTCAATGGCAACACTCACTCCCTGCACCTCCTTAGTGATAGCTGCGCGCCATTGCTCGAAGTTGGACATCACCTCATCGGGGCTGACGTTATGCACCACATCCAGAGGGCCTGATAGGTTCTTCAAGACCGTCTCTATGTCCTCGGTATAGCCGACCTCAGCCTTTTGTAGCACTGGTCTCAACTCTGGTCCAATGCAATCAGCTATTTTTACTTTTACCAATCCTGGTTCAAGATCAAGATACATTGACCATCCATGGTCCACCCCATCTTGACCTTCATCTTGACGATCACTTTCCACATGGAGACCTCTCATCCCAGCAATTGGAGGCTCAATACTCAAGCTCCCGTTAAACTCAGGCAACTGGGACAAGGGAGTTTGAAACCCATGTTGGTGTAGTTGATGTAGATCTTCCTGGGATAGCTTGCCGAGACAGTTGGGGGTATAGGCTATCAAGACCACACGCTCTCCTTCCCAGTCGGAAACTTCGTGAAATCGTGCAGGGCTGAACTCAATGCATCTTCCAGGTTGTAGTGAATGAAGTTGGCCGTACAACTGCTTTCCTCCGCAGTCCCTTCGATCTATCGGACCACAAACAACATCACCTTCCTTTAACTCGACCCAAAGTTCTCCTCCAGAGGTGGGCTCGGTTAGCGGGATCACATAGTTCTGCGTCTGGTAATCGTTGTTGAAGTCCTTGTGTATTGACTTGGGAGTATTGCACGAAACCAAGATCGAAGTAAACGATGCTGTAGGACATGTCTCTGTTACAACCCGGGACAACATTCTTGAGACCTCAGGGTATTCCACCAATCCTGTCATCCATCCCACGGTACCTCCATGACGAAAAACCCCAAACTTCTGGTTGGAAAAGAAACCTTCGCGGGCAAGCTGAATCACCAAGTTCTTCGCCTTCTCTAGGTCCCAATTTTGTAGTAACTGCTCGGCCTCAGCTGTGGCCACTGCTCCAAGCTCCTTCTCCCCTACCGTGAGTTTCTTCATTTCGACCTCGTCCAACTTTGTCTTCCCCATCACACGCCTTTTCGGCTTTGAGCGATCATCAACACAAAGCTCAGCATCTGGGCGTCCAGGGTCAACTAAATTGGGTCGTACATGAAGAGTGTGGTAGAACTTCTCCTTCACATCGCCATCGGCCGGAACGTACACCAAGTGACCACGGTGCAGAATTGAGCTCAATCCAACATAGAACCCTTCAGTGGCCCATATTTGTCGAAGGCCTTCTTTTCTACTGCTCCATACGGTGCAGCTAGGCAGCTCTTCCATCCAAGGACTCGCGCCCTTTGCGCCGCAGTGACTGCCTCCGCCGCAGTAGGCCACAACCTCACTGGCAAAGACGCACTTGTAACATAGGTTCTTATGCTGTCTTTCACCCACCGGACTGTAGCTTCGGCGCGTCCATTCCCTTGAGGTACTCCTGGCTCAGACCATGTACCCAGAATCCCTTGATCTCTCAACCAAGCACGTAGTTGGTGGTTGTAGAACTCGCCTTTGTCCGAGTGGAAGCGATACACAGGAAACCCGTGCATTTGTAAGTACAGCACCACATCTTGCAAACCCCGCTTCACAGTACTCGACTGATTGTTTGGAAGCCCCATTGCAAAAGTCAAATACGTCATCTCTGGAGCCATTGTGTCCCCCTGCTGCAGAGCCGCATTGCCTGGTGGAAGATCATCTGGTACTTCTTCTTTTTCTTGCTCCTCCTCACCTGACACAGAAGGCTCATAGTCCAGCTCCTCCAAATCATCAAGTAGGGCAGGATCTCCATGGTCTGGAACATGCTTCACCTCAACATCAAGGTCAACAACCTCCTCCTCAGACTTACGCCAAACATCCTCCCCGAACAACTCTGGGAACAGCTCGTCTGGTTCCTTGTCTTCCCTACTCTCAAGAGGGACTCCATCATCTTCTGGGGGTTGACAACCAGAAAACTGCTCTATGTAGGACTTGGGAACCAAATACTTTGCCACCAGGAGATACTTCAGGTTCCTCCCAGTGGTTCCCTTCGAGGTAGGATCTAGCCCCGGCGCTATAGGACCTGCGACATCTGCTGTGAGAACATAGCAATCTGGATGGTGTACTTTACGATGCTGTCGGCCGGTCCCCCTTGATGTAACGCAAGTAACACAATCCTTCCGGAAGACCTCGTGGTTGCTATCCACATGCTGCTTCCACTGCGCCGCTGACATCGCTTGTACCCTGGGCAACCTTGGTGCACAGCGTGGGTCTCGATCCCATAAGCTCAAGGCCACCACAACCGCATTGACCAACCCAGGAGACCACACGTGATCTCCATTCGAAGTCTCTGGCATTTCCTCCTCCTCGGAAAGGCGTAGGTTTTCAAGAGACAACAAGCTAGCCACATTTGTTCCCAAGGTCGTACGGTTCCGTGACAAGCCTCCGGTAGCACCTTGGTCAAACGACACCAATCGTAATCCTTCTCTCTGCTGGTAGGACTTCCACATTCGGGTGTCCCAAAAACTTCCCCTTGCATCCATTGTGGGCTTCCCCTGTAGACGCTCCAAACGGGGACGCTGAACTGATTCCCAGTACATCCGCGTTTCCTCCCACCCTGCCGGGCCTGCCCGTCCAGAAGGATCACGACGTGCATCTTCAGCTCGCTGAACTTCTGCATCAAGTAGCTCACGCTCCTCTGTGGACATGCCCTCGGGGTACTCAATCATGAACGCTACCTCCCTGTTATGATTGTGAACTCCTCCATAAAGCTCTCGTCCCACTTGGGCTACTGCATGCAACCAAAACATCCTCGCCACCAATGTCATAGACCTCACATCACGATCACCGCGACGAGAGTGCTCACTGGTTCTGCCTGGGGGTCCTCCGATAACTGCATCGATCTTGCCCTCCTTCGCTCCCCACAGTAGCATCCTCCACAGCTCAGACCGTAACAAGTCTAGACCTGGGCTCCGGCTCACATCCACTTCTATCACCGTTGTTTCGCCCTGGTCGAGCTTCATAATCTCGTAGTGACCTTCCTTTCCCGCAAAGAGATGAACAACCCAGCGCTTCGAGTTCAGGAGCTTTCTTTTCTGGGCCCGTGTAAAGCATCCAACTTCCTTTAGTATGTCCCATCCGGACCACAATCCTCCAGTGGGAATCATCCCCCCGAGGCATTCTCCCGGAAGGTCTCTGAAGAATGGAGCATCTCGAACCGCTCTTAGCCCTGACTCAAATGACCCAGTTCCAACGTAGTCCAACAGAAATGCATCCCACGTTTTTTCCATGGCCAGTGCTGCCACTCCAACCCTGTCCTTGGTCAGCAGCATAGCGTTCTTCAACTCTTCCAAGCGCCGGTCCTCCAGGCGAGCAATGATGGCCAATGCCTCCATCTCACACATCTGCGGGCAACCACTCTCTGTTTGCAAAGGTATTCTTCGTCCCGATGGTTCCTGAAGGTAGCATTCTTCGGGTGTCCAAAACATAGAATACCCCAAAGTCTTGATCAACTCACCCATGGGAACGATAGTTTGACCCATTGCTGCTGGTGGCCCCTTTCCCTCAACCTTGACCGGAGGCATCAATAACGTACCTCCCGGCGTGATCCTCATAACCAACTGGTGATGGCCTGCCAGCTGGACGGAGATTTCTTCCGAGCTCAGCCACTCTTCTGTAGATCTCGCCGTCCTTAGTCCATGTGTAGCACCTGAGTCCACCAACGCCGTTGTGATCGAACTCGCACTGCAAACCCGAATGTCCCTCAACATCAAGACCTTCATCTGGGGTCTAGTCTTCTCTGGTGATGACTCTGAGCCAGGGTCAACGCCTTGGGTCTGAACGACCTGTTGCGCTGCTTGCACTAGGGCTTCCAGAGTCCAGGGTGTTCCCTGGATGACGTCGCTCATGGATGTCATACCTGAGCCTGTGGTTCCTGCTGTTGCCATGGTGCTCACAGTGGCGTTCTCCTGGCTCGAAGGCGGTGGCTTCTTAGGCTGCGTCTCTCTTGAAGATGTAGTAGAGGTCGGAGTCGGTGTCTTTGGGGCCGCCTTACCGATAGGGCAGTCTTTAGCTCTATGTGCTTCAGCTCCACACTTCAAACACTTCTTTGACCTCGTATCTTTGTCCATCCCTGCCATTGTATGTGCATAGCTGCAGCGTTCCCCTCTTTTGCAACCACAGGCTTTTGCAAAATACCTGCAGAGGTCTGTGCTAGGCCCTCCCTTTCCCCCAGCGTCTTTGGCCTTTGGCTGCAACGGTGCCTCCACTGCCTTCAGCTTGGGGATCATGGTGTTCTGCAGCGAGCCTGCCGCCACAATGGATTCGAGCTCTGCTTGCAGGTGCTTCTGGTACGCCTGCACTTGAGGGACTGTAGGACGAGCGTCTAAACGTAGGCTAGCTCGTAGCATAGACGTTCGGAAGCTTGCATCTGTTGACATGTTGATATGCCTTTCAGTTAGCATCGTGAGTCCTCTTGCAAGCACTGAGGCGTCTGGCGGGGTCATGTGGACTCTCTTGCACCTTTCCATCCACCTTGGCCACGAACGCACCACTTGTAGAACATGCTCAGCTGATTCTCCTGGGACATATTCGAGAGGATTCTGTAACCGCTTTAGAACATCCTGCCGCTCAGCACCACCACCTGGCTGGTAGAACGTGTAGGCCCGGAACATTAGCTTCGTGCAACTCTGTGTGCTCCGTCGTGCCACTACATCTGCCTTGAGCGTGTCGGACATTGCAGCTAGGATCATCGATGCTCCTCTCGCATTTACACGGTTCCACTTCCCCGTAGCCCACAACTCTGGATCCGTAGGCTCAACCGCCAACCTTTCAAGGGGTGACGCCATCAACCACTTCTCATAAGCCTCTTCCACCTGGCCCATCACACCTGACCACCATTCACCGCTGCCCTCACTGATGTCAGCCATGATTGACGATGAAACCTCCAACCAATCCTGAAAAGTCAAGGCAGACTCGGCACCGTCCTTGATCTCTGGCATCTTCATGAGTGACATGGTTCCAGGCTTCACTACTTCCGAACCTGTGCTCATAGTAGCTTTTGAGAGGGCTTGCGCTTGTAGTTCTTGTAGTTGTTGAACTCCGCGTGCCAGAGCTTCTAGCACCGGGGATTCAGACTGCTCTCTCTGAGGCCTAGGTGGCGGTGTCTGACTCCTTGGGCGCCCAGCGAACCACGACCTCAGCAGTCCTGGTCCAGTTTCTTCCTCACGTTGGGAACCCATTGGTACATGACTCTCTGGGGGCACTGGTAGCGGAGCGTCTTCGCCCCTCTTCTCTCCGGGACCATGATATACTCCTTGACCCAGTGCAGGAAGTTCACTTTGAAATACTCTAGGTCCCTCAGGTAGTCCCTGACCAAGAATAGGAACCCCACTTCTAGGTACACCGGCATTCTCAGGTACCCGGCCATCAACATGTAGCCGGGAAGGCTCACCTCGTGGTTCGGGAAAGCCCTGTAATAGTCCTGGATTCAAACAAGCACCGGCAAGATCACCCAAAAGTCCCTGAGGAGGAAGTGTAGGAACATCCCCGGTCATTCTTCTCTCCTGTTCACGTCGAAGATGCTCCTTTACCTCAACCAACTCACGCTCTAGCTGCTGGTTTCTGCTCTCGTAATCCCGCAGTTGTCCCGCCATGCCTCGAAGCTGCCGTTGGACTTCGGCCTGGATAGCCTCAGCTGGCACACTCGAGCTCGACGGTGGCGTGGGTGCCGGAGGTATAGCTCTTGCCCTGGCCGGCGAACGCTGCCTGAAGGCAGGTCCCCCTGGCGGCGTATTGTATGGAGGGCTTGTTCCTGGCAAAGGACTGGGAGCTAAATCTGACATCTGAGCTCCACATTCGAATTCAGAAAACTCGTCAACCTCGAAACCCAGCGTGGGACTTCCACGTTCCCCATCCAAGGTGGGTTGACTGCCCCTCGGGCCGTTGTCGCAGCCTTTGGGGTGAAGAAGCCACTCGACGAACCTGCAGCAGTGTTGACCGCCCCAGCACTTCCCAGTCCTGATCGCCCACCTACATCCGGCATCATCAAGGTTTCCGTTCGCAACCTCGCCTGTACTGGTGCAGCTGTGGTCTCAGAGCTTCGGGCCGGTTCTGCAGCTTTTGGTTCCTGCACCCCTTGACGCGCCACCTCACATGGCCCCACGTCTCGGGCGTGCTGCTGTTGCTCGCCACGATGAACTTCTTCAACTTGGTCGGTTCCACGACCAACCTCATCCGGAGTAGCCTCTAGCCGCTGCCCTTGCTGCGGTACGACTCCGTTCGGCTTCGCTTCTGCCTTTAATTGGGCGCTCATAACCTACAAATGAGGTTCGCCCTAGCTTCAGCTTGGGACCAGCTCAAACGCTATCCATCAAGGCACAGCAAAGGGGACCTCACTGTTTTTCCGCTCGCAACACAACGTTGTGAATGACTGCTGACTGTGAATGTACATGTTTGTCAGCTTTTTCCATTCTGGATTATCGCTTTACAGCAAACTCTGAAAGATGTGGTATGCTCCAAAAGCACTGCATAGCCCAAGGGGTTGATACGTAGCCTTCCCTGAGCCGTCATTATGCGGAGCACTCACACAAGTTGCGCACTGAATCGGAGGTCTTCTGCAGGTTTAGGGTGTTTTTGTTCCGGATTTCTAAGGGCTCAGGGTCGGCAAGACCGTTCTTGTGGTCTCGGGGCATGCAGCTCGTGGATTCTTCGATATGGTTTATGCCGCGTTTCTCTTTCGAGGTGCTGCTTTGGTCTCGGGCTAATTTTTTCGTGGTGTAGCTGTACAGCACCGAAGCTTGTTGATCTTGGATATGGTCTTATATATCGGGATATTTGTATCGGGGACTGCGGGACAGATCTAGATGCGTTGGGGGCGGGGTGCGGGCAGGTGCTCGTAAGTGTGACAGCTCCAGTGTGCTACTGGCATCAAGAAACAGTGCATAATTGGACGCAGGAGCAACCAAGACGAAGGTCGTATGGCCGAGAATCCCAAACCCGGTAACCCCGACTGCACCGTTGCACCCCTGAGCCCAACACTTCGAAACCCCTGAAGCCTTGTCGAACCCTAAAACAATCTTAGACCCGATCCGAAGCTCCATATTCAGGACCTCTGGTATGCAGTCTCCGGAAGTGTCCTGCTGCTTGGTTGCAACGTTTACCCGGAGGGCCCAGGGAGGCAGTGGGACGGTTCGGGGTTTGGGTTTTGGGGTTTAGTTTAGGGTTTGCAGGTTTAGCTGTTTAGCTTTAGGATGTAGGATTCATGCTTGGGTTAGTGTTTCAGGGCCTGACAACCCACGCCGAATCGTTTTGGACCCGGTCATGTTTGCACAAGAGAGTGCCGTCTAAGATAGGCGTCCCTGTGCCAGGACGAGATGGCTTTTGAAATTATATTAGAGGGTTGGGGTTTCGGGTTTAGGGGTTAGTGTTTAGCTTATATATTTGCCAGTACTATTTTGGGGGTTCTTCAGTATAATTATACTATAGTGGGCCCCAAAACTCTATTCTATTTATCAAGGCGCCGATCTTATATTACAGGGTGACTTCTAAATCCCCAAGTTGAGTTGCAACCACAACATCTTTCAGCGTTCATTCGCCTCGAAAGGTAGACAACAAGCCCTATAACCTTCGACTGGCTACTGTAAGCCCCGAAGAGTTGGAAAGCGGATTAAGGACAATCGGTGCTGGGATTCCTGTTGCAGTAGTCTTAAGCACTGAGGCTATTGGGTTTCCAACTTTTAAGCTTCTGCTGTAAACTCTCTGCCCTGTTCCTTGCCCGCTATTTCAGACTAGATCACCCTACCCTCGATAGTAGCCAAGATACCCTCTACCCTGTATCAAGGAATCAAGGTTCATAGCGGATCTGGTAACCCTAAACCCTAAACCCAAAACCCTAAAGTATCTCCGGATGGCCGTTTTCTCCGATGGTCGCCTTGTTTTAGGCCGTGCTGGAGTCAGTGGGACAACCCTAAACCCTGCACCTTACATGTTACATCGCTGAATCCTGAACTCTCAGCCAAACCTGCCGACAGAGCTTACCTGGACCCTCCATCTACCCTCTATTAGACCCTAAATGCCCACTCTTTGGGACCATATACCCCTGTGGGAGGGCACAAGGAGGGTCCTGGTACAGGCTCCCAATTCATCGCACCTCGGAATAGTAAGACTTAGGCTTCTTCGAGGGTTACTTGAAAGGATTCCTTCAAGGGGTTCGGTTCGTGTTTAGGGTTTGGGTGATTGGATCTTTGGGTTGACAATTTCAGGGTCTTAGAGCTTGGGTGGATGGCCGTGGCCTCTGAAATGAAGATGATGCCCCGTTCAGAGCTTCTCGTCCCTCGCCGAGGTCCACACCGAAGGTTGTTGGTCTCACCGCATGTCCGACGCGAGGGTGAGCACTGGGCGCAGGGCTTGCTGGCGGGAGACTTGATTTTTGCTGTTGGGGGTGGGTGAGGTGATGTCTTGATGTACTACAAATCCAGTAAACCCTGATTTGGTTTAGTACAACCGGGATCTGCCTAAGCATTCATTCAAGTAGGCTTGGCATCCGAAATTGCATGAAAGACCCTGAACCAACTTCCTGGAGCCACACGTCCCCCATGTCATGTCAGCTCTTCGTAAACACCGGAAGCCAATATGGGGCTTAAATGGTGGGATCCTGAAGACAAGGAGCTTGTGTGAAGAGACCCCAGCAAAGAAGCCCTCCTATAATCCTGCAATGCGGAAACCCCGATAGAAGCACATTTCTCACCCCTAATCCCTAAACCCCAACCTATTTTCCCAACACCACCCAAAATTGTGGCCCCTTCTTGGGAACCCTAAATATGCGGTGCCGTACTATAATAAGGACCCAAAATACGGGACCATCATTTTGACAACCACCCATGTAAGACCCAAACTCTTCGAGTTCCCAGCTTGCGCAGGACCTCACCGCTGGCCACGCAGCAGATCAGGCATAGGGAGCGGTTGATTGAAGCCTAAGCCCCAAGCAACCAACCTTTTGGGGGGGGTCTTTATGTATGTCCTTACCTTGGTAAGTTTCCTGAGGGTTAAGGCAGGGTTGGGTTCGGGGCTTTGAAGGGCTTGCAAGGTCTAAGGGAAGCAAACGGTATTATAGGGCACGTGCTTTTTCGTTTTGTCATTGTTCTGTTTTTGGTTTCCTCTTCACTCCCGCCATTGTGCGGAGCCTGTTTTCTCAGATTTGTAGCCTCTCGTTTTCGTTACACAAGGTAGGTCCGTCTGCTCAGGGGTGATGTTTGGCCTAGAACAGCAACAATAATGTGGGCTGCGACATCCCCGGAAAGTTTGGGGTCCGTGAGGATGATATACCAATACTGCTGATGGACAAAATCCTGCATGACCCTAAGGACTCTAAACTATGGGAACTATGGACTATGGTCCATTCCAAATAATGGGTAATGCAGGATTTTGTCCATCAGCAGTATTGGCCGAAATCTTTCCTTAGGTATTGATGAAGTGGCTAGAGTTTCGTTTTTCCGAAAACCAGCCGCCTTTATGACCCCACTCCCACAAAAGCCGCATGATTTCGAGAAACTCCCAAACCACTGAGTGCGATCATCACATACTTATCCAGGATTCCTTAAGCAACTTGTGCAGAGCCGTTGAGCACCCTTTTCCTGGTGTCTAAAGCCATAGTTCGCGGCTTTCAAAAATCAACAAACCTGCCTTTATCGGGTCTCTGCAAAAGTGCCCTGAAGCAGACCCTGTAAGCAGATGAAGTACCACGAATCCATAAGCCCCAATTGGACCCAAACTCGAAACCTCAACACATCGCAGCTACAGCTCCTCATGCACCATAGTCTAGGTGACCGCCTAGGACGGTCACCTGGACAGACAAACAGCAACGTCCAATGAAGGGTCGTATTGTACGTTTTGCGTACGCCCCTTCTCGAAACCAATCCACCAAAACCCTCTCAAGCCGTGTACCCTTGGGTGAGCCCTTTGGTGAAACCTCAACCCCACGAGCTCCGGTGAGCCTCTCCAGTAAACCCGGGACCTTGGCAGGATCTTCTTCTGCGGCGATGCGATGGGCACGCTGGATTCTGAGGGTGAAGCAGTACTTCCGGCGCTTTGTTTGGCCTGTCCTAAGCCCTGAAACCTAGACACTAAACCCTAAAAGCCGAATCCCTCAGTCCTGACCCCTAAATCCTGTACCCTAAGCCGTGAAGCCTCAACTCAAGCTTCCTTCTGGGGCTCGGAAGTCATCTGCAGAGCCCCAAACCGGTCCTAGACACAAGCCCGAAGTCAACAGGCCAAAAGCCCTGAGCCGGCAATGGCGGCAATGCCAGCAGCAGGAGCCAACGCAGCCCAAACAGCGCCAGGAGCATATCGTTATGCCAGCGCAAAATTTTGAACTCTACCCTGAAAAACAAGCCCTATTGCAGTACAAAGCCCCGTAGACACTTAAAACGTAGACCCCAATTTCCCCATGCCCGAAATCTGAATCCTTCCAGCCCACAGCTGAGTCTCAGCCCCTTCGGGGGTTTGGGGGGCAATGCCGGTGTGGAGGACGCCGTGAACCTTGCATCTCGGACGCGGTCCTTATAAGGTGATATTGTTCTTTTTTGCTTTCCGGCAAGTGGATTCAATGGATTCTGTTGCATGTTCATGATCCTTCCAATTACTTCTTGTTTGTGCTTTACTAGACCCTTCAAACCTTATTCATATCCTGAAGGCCTTGTTTCGAAAGTTTCACAGGATGGGGGCATGTCTCAGGTACGGCATGCCCGACTTAGATCACGGATAAGAATGAAGAGGCTAAGCCCGTCGACCCATTGGGTCCTTGAACCCGTGGTTGGGGGTCGAGGGTCTAAGCTTTAGGGTTTAGGGTTTAGGGTTTAGGGCTAGACTACGTCCCGCAGCCCTTGTGATAGAGCCCCTTGAGCCTCAACCAAAGCTTTGCTCCGAAATTTGACTTTTGAACCCTTAAGGACCACCGGAACCTCTTAACACCTCCAACGCCTCAAGGAACCTCAAACGAACCTTGAAGGAACCTTTACCGGAAGTCTGCAAGGAGCCCTTCAAGCAGACCTGAATGGATTTTAAGGGTTCCTTTTAAGGCTTCCTTGAAGGGATCCCTTAGGGTTCATTTAAGGCATTTAAGGGTTCCTTTAAGGGATCCCTTAGGCTTCCTTTAAGGGTTCCTGCAAGGGATGCCTTTCAGGGCCCGGAAGATCCGAAAATCCCTGTAGGCCTGGAAGATGGCTTTGGTTCTCCTCTCCGGAGCGCCCCCGGCGCTTCTCTACACATTCCAGGTTGGGATTGAGGTCTTAGGGTTTAGGGTTTAGGGCTTTAGGG